TCTTTCTTTTGGTTAGGTTAACTAAATTTTGTCAATATTGTTTATATTTTGAAGGAACCAACTCTGTGTCATTGACTCTCTACATTGATTTTATTGTCGCTGCTGTTTCCATTTCACTGATTTCTACATTGATGTCAGTCATTTTACTGGTTTGGGTGTTTGACTTGTTCTTTTTCCAAAGCCCAAAGTTGAATCATTAACTAATTTAAAAGAAATCTCTTCGATATAGGTACTTTGAACCTTAAATGCCCCTCTTATGACTGTTTTTATTATATCCCAAAGGCTAAAGGATGTTGTGTTTTCCTGTTGGTTTGACGGTAGAAGTTGTTCCACTTGCTAAACGTGGAAATTTGGAAATTTGGAGCCCTTGGTTAAGGGAAAGTATCTCAGTCCTGCAAGAGGTTGATTCTTCCTGCAGCTGGAAAGGGTAAAGACATCCTTAAAGTGTGCTGTATCTTCTTCCCACAGATCTGAGTGTAAGGATTTAATCCTTAATTACGTCATCAGCCTCTGCCGGCTTCCCAGCCTAAAAAGTGGGTGTGCCCTCTGTGGGCTCTCTTTCCCCTCTCCTCTCCACTCCTTCCTCCCGTCGGCTCCCCTCTCTCCCTCCCCCCGCCCCCAATAAAGCTCTAAATAAGTAACTATGGCTATGATTCTTTTAATCAGCACGCTGCTCCACCGGCATGGTCGCCGCAGGCGAGGGGCAGCGCCACGGCTTAACCAACATTGGTGCTATTCAGACTCGGATACACCACCGAGCACCGAGGACCCGCAGTAACTACTGCTGCCTCTTCCCCCATCCAGCGAGACTGTGAGACCACAAGTGCACGTCCCTCACCGCCTCCGCTGGACCCCCACCACTACCGCCATGATTCCTCACCACAGTAAGTCCGCTGTTCTCGAGGCTATAGTCTGAGCTATATTCTTTGCGATGGACACCCCAGGGGGTTGTCCTTGGGCTGCACTGGCAAGGGCACATTTCCCTTTCTGAGGAGAAAGTAAATGCTGTCTTGGTCTACCGGGTGGACCAACTGCAGTGCAGCTGCAGCCCTTTGCATTCCTTGAAGAGGATGGTGAAGTTGAGCTGACTCATGGATCACTCTCCACTCTTTGGGGACGCCCAAGATTGTAGTCTGATCCCGGTTTGTTATTTTAATTTTTTTTTTTCTCTCAGCTACTGTCATGGGACAAAGGGGCGGATAAATTGGCGGATACGGGTGGGCACCAGTAAACCTGGCCACACAACAGAGTTGCGGGAACTTCTGCCAGCGAAAGGGCAAAAAAGAGTTACTTTATCTCCAAGCTTTCTACTAAAATTCTAACTAAACCCTTGTCCTTCCCCACTTCTGCATCGCCACGTGCAACCTTTTGCATCCGACTTCCACCGGCAGTGGGCAGGCTTAAGTGGGTGGACTTGGGCGGTTTCTACGACTCACCCTAACTCACCTTAACTCCACCCACCCATTCTCAAACTGCCTTGAGAAGCA